GTATAGCAATCCTTTCTGATACTCATTTTCAAAGGCCTTTGAAAATTCATTTGTTGTCTAGAGTCTTACTGATTCTGTGAGAAATGACAGTTAGAACATCAGCAGTGTATCAGGCTGATTGAAACCCATATTGCTAGTCGCCCAAGAGGCTGTTCCTATTTAAGATGATCAACAAACATTTTGATTAATACTTGAAAAACTTTGCTAATGACACTAAGGGGCCTGACTGGTCTATATTTAGAGAGGGGTGATCACTCAACCAAGTTCTTGAGAACCTGGCATACATTTGACACCTTCGATAGACTTGGAAAGAATTTCTCTTTCAAGCAGCGGTAATTTCGCTAAGATCGGGGATAATTCAGGATTGATATTCTTAATGACAACCACTGGCATTTTGTGTAGGTCAGTGGCCTTCTTGGGGTCAAGTCATTTTGTCATCTAACGTTGATCGACGAAAAGAGCTCCGCCTTATCTGATGAGGATGAACTCCGGGCCATAATCCAAGACAAGAGGGAGAATGCATGGAATACATCTGAAAGGCAAATGTGAGAAACTGAACAAAGCGCAAAATATATACTTGAATTTCTGACCACTTCATTTTCAATGAATTTCTTTTGACTGATTTTTTTTTGTTATTGATTTTACGACTTATCAAATACCAGTGGGTCATTTAAAGCCGAAATACATATTTGCGTCACAAGAATAACTATTTTGTTTTTAAAATTAGCATACATTTATAATTTTTGACAATAAAAATGCTTTTTTCCAGACAAAAGACATACTGTCTAACCCATATCAGGAAAGGAAATAAAGGGAAATTGGGTTTATAACTTTTCTAAGAATGTTTGCCCGTAAGTGAATATAACGATCCAGAATGGAAATCGACTCTCTATCCATTACACAGCGCGTCAATGCGCAATTTCATGAAAAATAGATTACAAATATATATATATATATATATATATATATATATATATATATATATATATATATATATATATAATGGACTTTCCCGTCAGTTTTGACGTATGAGGATCTGACAGCTTAGTTGATTCAGTTATGAAAATTTGTGCAATAATCTTAAGTGGCACTTAAGACCCGCTAGTGATTTACAAAGGAGGCCACATATGGAGCAAAAGTGAGGATTGTGGGATGAGATCACTGTTAGATTGGCTGACCTTTTACATTTTCCTCTCGCTTTTTGAAGATGATTCAGACAAGCAGATTGAAAACTTTTGAGTCCACTAAAACACGTTGATTTCCATTCTACCCGCTCCAAGGCTAAGCGATAAAGGGTGTTATGTGGTATATTGACAGCTCACACACACACACAGACACACATACGAACACACACACACACACACACACACACACACATATATATATATATATATATATATATATATATATATATGTGTGTGTGTGTGTGTGTTAGAATTCAATATTATCAGTAACACTTCGAACATTTCGTAATCGATGGCAATAAATTCTGCTTGGTTTTCTATGCACGCTGGCTAGAATGTCAAAATTTGATGAAATCAAATGAAAGTCGAAAGATACTTAACTGTCAAATAGTCGACGTCTAGAATGGCAAATTGACATTTTGGAACCCTTGTTTATCGCTAACGTCAGAAATTTTTACAAAATGTTTTAAACTTGCATAGAGATTCCAGTTGCTGCAAATATATAATGATTATTTTTTTCGTCTTAAAGTTACAGTTCTGTCAAAACAACAAAGATAAAGATCATCGTCTAAAATTCAATTAATAATAAAAATGATTCTTCTGAAACTTCAAATGATACGAAATGGCAGAAGTATATATATCAGCTGAAAAGTTGCAATAAAAACAATAAAGGTGAAGATAATCATTTGGATGGATTGAATTACAAAACTTCAGACAAAAAAGAAGATATATTTGACGAGACGTTGACTGGAAAACTCAGTTTAAAATAAACGTGGAAAACTCCAGGAAAAACGAAAATCTCAGAACACCAGGCATCAGAGATGAACCGAAGTATATGTCGGCCGAAACGTTGTGGCAGCATCGAAAAGATAAAGCTAATAGTTTGGAAAACATCTTTACTGGAAAACAATCTTTATTTTGGAAAAAGAGAATAAAGCAAGAGCGGAGATTAAATCGGACTATGATGATATTCGTTTAAAAAGCCTGTTGAATAATGAAAACATTCTTAAAAATAATGGGTTGACGACTAAATCTTACTTATTATAAAACGCAGATTGCGCGTGTGTGTGTGTGTCTGTACGTTTATATATTGGACCGGATTTCCTACATTTTTCAACCGATTTCAACAAAACTTCACAGGACTACGTAAAATTACCTTGCGATTGTTCTGACAGCTCCAAAAATTGGAAAAACACAATTGTTTTTGCACGAAATCAATTTGAAAACATGATAAAACACGATTCTGTCGCCAGAATGAAAGGGGGACATTCATATCGAGTTATACTTATAAAACGCAGGTTGTTTGTGTGTGTGCGTGTGTGTTTGTTTATATATGGGATGGGATTTCTACATTTTTCAACCGATTTCAACAAAAATTCACTTTTTTTTGGCAGGTAGTGTTTCTTATTGTCTTGCACACTTTTTTCTTTATTTTTACATTCAGAATGCTTTAAAAATTCCATTTACAAGACAATTGTTTATAATAAAATTCTATTCAATCGATAAACTCATAACGATTGAAAACAATGTTTTTGTTTGAGTTTGTTTTTGTTTGACCAATTCGTAAAAAAAATACAAAAAACAAAAAAAAAATTAATTTTAAGACATGCGTGTCCGTCAACCTTAAACAATAATCTTTGTCAATCTTATTTTTCAGTCTTTATGATGGTAGATACTTGATCTATCTCTTACTGTTACATCCCCGGGCAACGCTGGGCTCTAATGCTAGTCACGTATAAAGATCGAACCTGGTCAATATTTAGATGGAGGTAGGGCGCTTAGAAACAACGGGCAATGTTTTCAATCTACTACAGCCCGAAATATGATTCGGCTTTAAATAATACAGAAAGGGTTGATAAGCCATAAAAAACAAATCCATCCACCAATCACCCTAGCTATACTAGATTGGCAATGGTTATATCAGCCGAAACAAACAATAGAAATGGTGTTAAACGCTGAAGTATAACAATAAGAAAAGTTTATTAATATAAAAACAATATACTCATGAATTCGTCAACTGCAAATGAACTCCATAAGATATGGGCGATCATGGCTCTCCACAACTTTACAGCTATATGCAATATTAAGACTTTGAGCCCTGACCACCGCTTTACCTGTGGTAGAGAAAATGACGTAATGCCCAGCCACCGGTTGAACAGTATTAGAGGAAATTGAATTAATGCCCAGCTACTGGTTAAACTATTGTAACTATTCTTATATCTACTGAGAAACATTACATACCAATTATTGGCGAATTTTGACTCAGGAGCTCAGGCAGAAGGGTTCAAATTGTTCAGGAACGTAGGGTTCAATGGGTTAAAGCGTTTACTATCGAGTTTGTTCTGTCATCAATTTACACAAGCTCTTTCCTGCTATCACTCTTGCCTTCAGTATGTCTGGTGAGTGTCAAATTCTCCAAGCCCTCCTTCCTCATTACATGTTCCAGACGTGATGTCATCTGGTGACTCGACTCTCCTCTTCATCCTTGAGATTGTCCAACCTTCACTGATATAAAGGAAAATTTAAATTACATCACAGTTAAGCACTCTTTTCTTTGTGACTAACGAGATTTTACTATTTCTTAATACTACGTTTAGCATTTGAAAGGCTGCATTTTCTATTTCAGAGCACCTCAGGATTTTTGGCTTACATTTCCTTCGTCTGTTGAAACACTACACCGAAAGGTAAATAGTTTTTCTTCAGTTCAAAGCTCGCATATTGGTATGTATCTTGTCTTTAGCAACTAAATATTCTGTCTTCTTACAGTTGATAGTCCTTTCTTCTCGCTTTCCTTTTCTGAGGTTTCTGGGAATTCTTGTATTTTTCCGTTCATATTATCTGTCGCCACGGTGCTATGTGTGTATATGATGTTTTTCAGGTGGGGTCCACCAATAATACATCCTAGTAAGACTTTTTGTCCTTTTTTTCCTCTTTCTGTTTATGTGTACTTGTATAATGTTATCATATCAAAAACGAATAATAACACGAAGCTAAATACATTATGTATAAAACAATTTTTAATATCGTCGTAAGTTTGTATATGTCATTAAGGCGATTTCTTCAAACGGGAACTTTTTTCTCTTTTCTCTCTGGTGGAGAGCTTATATATTTGTAAGTTGGCCTACGTTTACTCCTAGGTGCAGCTGTTTAGACCCCCTATTTGCATATGAGGTAAAGTATTTAAAATCCTGTGAGGGGCAAATTTGCATCTGGTGGCTATGGGGGTATCTTCCAGGTTACCAGGATTTTTTAATGCCCTGGTATGACACCGAGTGTAACGTCTTTTTTTGAAATCTCTTAGAGTGATACCATTATATACTGGAGTCATCACTTCTCTCAATTTTTGACATTAAATTCAATTCAGATCATATGGTATTCTTAGACGTGTATTCACTATAGTACTTGCTCAATTCATTTTCTTTCCATATGCAGTCGATTTGTTCGCAGTAAATATTCTGGATTATTTCAATATCTTTCCCAAATAAATCCTAGCAATTTCACTTCAAGAAGTATTTTAGGTATGCCTCTGCATATCCATCTAGGATTTGCGTTCCACTTATGAGGGATACGCATGTTCGATTATAAACTCGAGTACTGCTCTTGGTAGTGACTGTATCTGAATAAGTGGTTGCTATTTATCTGTAGAGACAAAATGTGGGTCTGGTTTTTACTCGTCTAAATCAATAATAAAAAATTCGGGGCTGTGTATGTATGATTTAAGGGATTAGAAATCAGACAGAAAACATCGTGGCTACAAATAAATTAATTCTGTTATGGCATACATAAAAAAGGAGATAATTATCAAATATAATCACGCTAGTTGAAAGAAAGAAAGAAAAATTGAAAGCGAGTAAAAGAAAGCGAAGAAAGAAAGAAAGAAAGAAAGAAAGAAAGAAAGAAAGAAAGAAAGAAAGAAAGGAAAAAAAGAGAGAGAAAAAACAGGTTCTTTCTTTCTTTCATTCGTAGGAAGAAAGAAAGTGACAGAAAGCAGTAAATGAAAATCGATGAAAGGAAGGAAGAAAGAAAGAAATGAAAAGCGGTTAATTGAAAGGAAAAAGAGAAAATAGATAGGAAGCGAGGAATGGAAATTGAAGAAAGAAAGAAAGAAAGAAAGAAAGAAAGAAAGAAAGAAAAGTGAGGAAGTGAAATAGAAGAAAGAAAGAAAGAGTTGTAAAGCGAGGAATGAAAGTAAAAAGAAAGAAAGAATGAAGAAATGAAAGACAGAAAGAATTGTAAAAGAGAGTGGGCTTAAATAAATAAATAAATAAATAAGAAAACAGAAAGAAAAACATAGAAATGAAAACGGGGAAGTGAGAGAAAGAAAGAAAGAATTGTAAAGCGAAGAATGAAAATGTAAAGAAAGAAAGAAAGAAAGAAAGAAAGAAAGAAAGAAAGAAAGAAATGAAAACGGTAAATTGAAAGAAAGAAATAGTTATAAAACGAGGAATGAAAAGAAAGAATTGCTGAAGAGAGATGGATTAAAGAAAGAAAAAAGAGAGAGATGGTGAGTGAGCAATGGAAATTGAAGAAAGAAAGAAAAAAGTAAGAGAGAAAGGAAGAAACGAAAAGTGAGAAATTAAAAGAGAACAAAGAAAGAAATTTGAAGATAGAATGAACAAGAAAGAAAGAAATGGTAATCGAGGAATGAAAATTAAAGAAAGAAAGAGAAAATAAATGTATCTTAGAGAGAGAGAATCAAGAACAGATATGTGTTAAGACGCACAAATTCTAGAAACCTTTATGTAATCGTGTTAGATAGGCGGATAAAATTCACTGGCCATATCCGGCGATTACCTGACAAGGTTTCTCTAAAGTGGATACCTCAAGGCCGCAGAAGACCCAAGGTGTTATCATAAAATCACATGGCGCACTACACTTAAATAAGACCTGAGTAAAAGAAAAACAACCTCGTTCTAGGCTATGCGAATTGCCTAAGATCGATCTAAATAGAGGGAAAGTGTGGTCCTTTGCTGTGATAGTTGAAAGAACAAGGTGCTATGGTTAACTATCATAAAAGATGTCTAGTTGTTGACTAAGATCTTAGCAATCTCGGATTCTTATTAAATTTTGAGCTTTTAAATTTTCAGTTAGAAGAACTGTAACTATAACAAGACTATAACAAAACACTTGATAGTCAGAGATTGCCGACTGTTCCCTCTTCCGATCTTGCACAAATTATCTAGTGGAGTAAAAACCTGCTAGTTATAATCAATGCCTCGAAGACCAAGTTAGTTACATTCCGTCATTACCAATGGAACCCCGAACTATCACCAATCAGGATGAACAGCGCCTTGAAAGATTATTGGGCCTCAAACTCACAGCCGCGACCTCAAATGGAATTCGGACATACGATTCATTGCTAGGGATGGAGGGGAAATCGTCGGCTCCTTATATCGCTCTAGTAAGTACCTGACTCCTCCTGCTGTCCTCTACCTTTACAAGAGCCAGATCAGGCCAAAAATTGAGTACGGTTGTCATATTTTTACGCAGTCCTCAATCTCCGGCCTTGATAGAATACAAAAGCATCACTGATTCATTGTGGGTGACTTATTCTCAATCCTGCAGCCTCTCAAAACTCTATTGGTACTTCCACGGAAAATACTCGGACGAACTATAATCGCTGGTCCAACATTCACGGCATGGACACACCATGCCACTCACATTGTAGCAAACCATCCACATTTCCTCCGTATTCCATCGGTTAGAAGTGAGTTCCACTCGAGCAGCTTCCCACGAACCACTACCCTGTGGAACCGACGCCCAAGAGGATGTTTCCCTGATCAGTACATTCTTAACTTATTAAAAACAAGGGTTAACCTTTATCTTCTTCTATCCACACACATTGCCTCCTAACGTAATCCTCTACCTCGAGTGACTCCCGAGCCCTGTAAAGGGTGAACATTACTGTAAAAGAAGGGAAAAAAGAAAAGAAAAAAGACCCAGGATAATTATATTTCTGACGAAATATCTCATCCCCTACTCAAGATAATCATTGAATTACACGTTTTCATCTCCATTCATGAAATGCCTTGAATGATTATCCGATAGATTCTTTAAGAGTGATGCCCACAATACGACGGCTGTATTTCCTGCAGAGGGGTAACATTCCAACGAAAGGGGCCACGTTCTGGGTGGATGCGTGTAGACTGAAGCATAAACTATACCACTGTTTGCGGATAGACCTGAGCATAAAGCCCGGCCAATGGTTGTGTATTGATTGAAGCATAAAATACAACCAAAGCCGGCGTTATAAGCCGACCAATGTTTGCAAATGGACTCAATCATAATTAAAATCTCGACATTAAATGACCTAACAAGGGTTGATATTCACCAATCCACCCAACAACCTAGAATTACTTGATTGACTGCCAGGGGAAGATCGAAGATTTTTACATTTCTGGCGTTCAAGATGCTAAATCAAATCTGGCAGATTTCAACAATCATTTCACAGCTCAGCAACTCGGCTTCTTACCCACTTCATTACACTTACAAACTACTGAATGTCATTAGACATTAAAAACGACTTTCTTGCCTAAGTGATTGATAACTATAAGAAATTAATAGAGGAGATATCTCAACAAACAACGCATTCAATAGAGATGACGAATAATAGAAAAAGAAGATTTACCGTTAGATTTTACTCTGAATATTTGTTGATTGCTGTTATAGAATGCATTAGAAGTACTGTGTCTATCTATGCCGTTTTCACCATAGCATTTTGATCGATATACTTTTCAGTCTTTGTCTTGTTTCTTCAAGTTCTCAGATTGGATATACAATAGGGAGGAACAAATATTCGTACACATACAAATGTTTGTATGTCCAACTATGAATAAACATACTTTTTATATAATTAACTGTACACAGATGCATAATAATTAAATATGCATAGAAAGCAGAAAAAAATATTTAATAGTAATAAGTCTTATTTATCTATTTTAATTGGTGAAAAAAGTATTCCTACAATACAAAAAAGAATACATAATCTTCATTTAATACTTTCTAGAATAGCCATTATTTACTTCTATAGCAACTAACATCTTGTAGTTCTCAATTAAGGATTTGCAAATTTTAGTAGGTATTTTGTTCCATTGTTCTTTGCATATAGTCTTCAGATCCAGAATGTTTAATTTTTTTTCATACCTTGCAATGAATGAACTAATGATAGTAAATGAAATATTCAGGTCGTCTAAGATTTTCCTGTAACTTTTACTTTCTTTCCAGAGCTTAACAATCAGTTCTTTTTTGGAAATTTGTCAATACATTATTTCTTGCCATGATGTAAACCTTCTTGCACGAATATAAATTACACAATATCTGTTTATATTTTTGGGTTAAAAATAACTACTGATTAAATTATTGTAAAATTCTGGAATATTCCACTTGAATAATCTCGAGTATTAAAGCAATTAAATTTTTTTTACATCTGAAATTTGCATTGTACGAATAATTTTTCACCTATTAAAATGGATAAATGAGATCTATTTCTGTTAAATCAAAGTTTTTTTTTCTGTTTTCTATGCATATTTAATTATGCATCTGTGGACAGTTAATTATACGAAAAGTATGTTTATTCATTATTTCGAAATACAATTCATTAAAAATTTGTATGTGTACAAATATTTGTAGATTGTCCTCAATATTTTAGATCACTGTCTCTATTCCTGCTTTAACAATTTTTGAACCCAACATATCGACGGGTAAATTCTTCTGTTTTTTCTAAAGTTCTTAAATCATATATTTTCATCAATGTAGGTTTTAGAGTCCCTCTTTTCAACATTTTTGCTTAAAGTTTTGGATGTTTGGCTTGAATGACGGTAGAGTAGAGGAACTGAGTTCAAATTCCGAGCCAGTCCATTGCATTCACTTTCGCGCCAAAACTCTTAAGAAAACTGCCAATCTTTCAATTTTCCCACAACTATGGGTTAAATAATCGGGTAGACTGGGCTCATTAGACGTGAATGACAACCACATCAAGAGAAGACAAACTGAATTCAAAACCTTAAATCCCTTTTGTCGTCCAGTGCTATACTAAGCTAAGCTTATTAGGTTCTTTAAAAAGGTGCTTACCGTAGTGTTATGGTTAACCAGCAAGTATCATCAGCTAATTCTCTAATGTCAGGTGTTGCATCATTATTGGGTGGCACACTTACGTCGTCTTGTATATCTATCCTTACAAAAAAAAACATTAGGTGCCTAATTTGTGAAGCTAATCTAGCAGAGATCTTGCATACATAAAGATAATAAAGTGAGAAAATAAGCAAGAGGAGATAGACGAATAAGAAAAGGATGCGTTTTCACAACGGATTTATTTAACCCTTACGATGAAACGAACTAAGGAGAATTAGCCCACCTACCATAATCTTAGCAACGTAAAAAACGTAAATGATACTGCGTTAATAACAGACCCCAAAAGAAAACTAAAAAAGAGATAGATGTCGAAAGCAAGAAGAAAAGACTAACGTTATTCGTGGTGGTCAGGAAAAGAAACAGTTCAAGAGGTACAAATTGAAGCGAGTACAGAATTTGAACTATTTGGACAGAAGATTAGCAAACACGGATGCATAACACAGAAATCTGAAGTCACGTAAAAATGGCGAAAGATATCTATTAGAAACGAAGCAATACATTAAGAAAAGAAATATTTTGAGAACGTGTGCTTAACAGCCATATAATATTTATTCTGCCATATGGAAGCGAAGGATGTGCAGGTGGTGTATTGGATAGCGGTTTAGAATGAGAAATTCAAGAACCAAAGAGCCAAGATCGAATTCCAGTAGATTTCGTTGCACTTATTTACAGTCAAATACCATTCGGGAAGTTGTAAATCTATCTTCTCCTCCAGCTTTGGGTTAAGTATTGACCTCTTTATCATTTGTTAGCAACTAGCTTAGAACAACTCTTGAATGCAAAACCCGTTGGTTATGGGGATAAAAATTTCATTTCGGAAAGCACAGAAGCAACGCCTACTGCTGTTGAAAACCGTGGTCTCATATTCACAGGGAGTGTACGGGATTTGAGTCCCATACTCCACAAGGGCCGTACGAGACTTGAGAGCTGTGGCACCATACTCCTAAGAGATTGTACGGGGCTTGAGAGCTGTCACCGCAAACTTGTAAGATATTGTACGGAACTAGAGATGTGATTCCATACTTCTAAAAGATTGCACGGGAATTGAGAGATGTGGCCACATACTTCCTAGGGAGTGTACAGGAAATTGAGAGCTGAAAGTGAAACTGATACTTACAGACAAAAGCGGAATGTTGAAGTCTCTGGGGCATATTAAAAAAGAGAACGTGGAGAATTTAACTCACAAAGAGTATATTGAAGGCAAGAGAGAGGAGTGAACCATTGAATAAACGTCATCACGAGTTTTAGTCAAGCAAAAGAAGGCAAAGAGTATGAAAGTTTACGTAGTGCAACGAAAGACAGGATGTTTTAGAGAACCAAGATCTTCTCCGTCCTCAACGGAGATATAAAACATTAAAAGAAAACGATCAGGCGTGGTGTAATGGTTAACAAGCTTGTCTCGCTAGATCAATTACGACGGAATAGTGAGCTAGATCCTTACTGCGTGTCCCATACTTTCAGCCTTGTCTCACAGCTAAGCTTTAAAAAATCTTTTGGACACTTCGACCTGGTGTAATGGTTAGCGTGTTTGTCTCGTTAGATCATTTTTCACCACTAGCACACAAGGGGTTACAGAGAATTGTAGCTAGAGCAAATATGAGTGATAGAGAAAAAGATGAAGGGAAGGATAGGGAATAGATCAAGGCATCTGGAGACGTCGATTGACATTACATTTGGATAGTTGGAGATTATAGCTATCAGGGAAACAGGAAGAGGGGAGGCAG